ACCCCCGCACTGCTCACCCGCGCGGTCGCCTGTGCGTAGGACGTAGGTGCACGGACCTGTACCCCCACCCCGCTGGCGCGCAGCGTACCACTCACGGAGCTGCTGAGGGGGGGGGATGTCACGAGTGCGCTGCTGCTGCTGCTGCTGCTGGCGCTGACCACCACCGGAGCCGACCCTCTGCGCAGTGCCACCCCGACCAGCTCCACCTCCTGCGCCGCCGCCTCCTCCACCGCCGCCACCTCCTCCACCTCCGCTCCCACCGCCACCGCCGCCGCCGCCTCCGCCTCCACTGCCGCCATCGACACCTCCACCCCCGCCACCACCCCCACCGCCACCCCCACCCCCTCCGCCGCCTCCACTGCCGCCTCCACCGCCCCCGCTAGCTCCTCCAGCGCCCCTGCCCCCCTTGCCCTTGCCAGGGCGGCGTCTCCCGCTAGGGGTAGACGCCGCACCGACCGACCGAAGACCAACGAGGTCGGCCGCAGCAGCAGAGGCAACAGAGGGCAAAAGGGGGGAGGGGGAGCACCCCTCAAAGATGGGGGTGCGAGGGTCACCACGAGAGGCTCCTACAGCGACTATGCTCTTCTCTGCTGCTAGGAGGGCCTTCTCGAGGAGGTCAACGGTGAGAGTGGTGGGGCAAACTGAGAGAAAGTGGTCCCTGACTACGCGAAGGGAGTCAGGGAGCCGGGTGACTATGTAGTAGAGGGTGATGTACATGGGGGGGGGGGGGTTCTTGGCGCAGAAATCAGCAGGAAGCGCAGCGCGGTAGCGAGTGTCACTAGTGCGGAGGTGCGTAATGAGGTCAGCGACTGTGGGAAAGGCAGCAAGGTCAGGGAAGAGGTACGGTAGCATGAGGCGGCTCAGTGCAGCAGTGGCAGGGGAGGAGTAGCGTGCAACTACAGCGTCGTACAGGGTCTGAGCACTCTTGTACTGGCTAAAGTGCGCACGCTCAGAGGTAGGCAGGTGGCGACGCACAGCAAGACGTGCAGCAGCATCGCGTGTGGCCCACTGTGAGCGAACAGTGGCGTCGGCATCAGCAGCAGGGGCAGGAGAGGCACCAGAGGTGAGGTCAAAGAGGGAGAGACCGTCTGCCCTATCGCACTGTAGGAAAAGCTGCAGGTCATCTACCCAGACGTCAAAGTCAATGGCCCGACCCTCAGCGTCAAAAGCAAGGACACTAGGGGTAGCCATGACAGCAGTAGACCAGCAGCGCGAACAGTAGGGTAAGGGAAGTGCAGTGACAGAGGCGCTGCTCTTACCGGACAGGGCAGCTCGGGCGGCTCGGCGGCTCGGCAACTCGGCGGCTCGGCAACTCGGCGGCTCGGGCGGCTCGGGCGGCTCAGCGTTACGGCGGCTTGGCAGCAACTGCGGCTCGGCGACTCGGCGGCTCGGGCGGCTCGGCGGTACGGCGGCTCGGTAGCTCGGTGGCTCGGGCGGCTCGGGCGGCTCGGCGGTACGGCGGCTCGGCAGTGGCTGCAGATCGGCGGCTCGGCAACCCGGCGGCTCGGGCGGCTCAGGTGGCGCGGCGGCTCGGGCGGCTCGGATGGATCGGGCGGCTCGGCAGCAGCTCGGCGGCGTCGGCGGCTCGGTGGTGACGGCGGCTCCGCGTGGGGACGGCGGCGGGGGCGGGTGGAGCGGCGGCGGGGCCGCGTGGAGCGGCGTCGGGGTTGGGTGGGGCAGCTCGGGGGCCGCAAAGGTAGGCGACGGGGCCAGCAGAGGCGGCGCCGAGGCTGGGAAGGGTGGCGCCGGGGCCGCAGGGGTAGGCGACGGGGCCGCTAGGGCGGCTAGGAGGTGGGGGGTCGCGAGGGCGGCTTGAAGAGGCTGCGAGGGCGGCTAGGAAGGGCGGCGAGGGCGGCGTGAAAGGGCTGCGAGGGCGGCGTGAAAGGGCCGCGAGGGTGGCGCGAGGCGACGGAGCCGCGAGGGCGGCGGATCGGGGCCGCGAGAGCAGCGCGACGCGGCCGCTAGGGCGGCGCGACGTGGCGCGGCCACTAGGGCAGCGCGACGGGGCCGCGAGAGGCCGCTAAGGGGCCGTGAGGGGCCGTGAGGGCGGCTCGACGGGTCCGCTAGGGGCCGTGAGAGGGGAGACCCACGGAGCGCGACTCGGGCAGGAACTGAGTGCGCTCCGGGCAGGAAAAAAAAGAATCGAATCGGTGTGCCCTAGGAACAGTTCCCACAAGGGAACCTGCTCGATACCATGAGAAAACTAGAACGAGAATGAATGACTAAGGGAAAGTTGGGTACAAGTACAAACCCTAGAAAGCTGTACCCTATATGTGCTACCCCACTATAGCCTACAGTAGCTATGTCATATAAATCTAACAGTTCTCCCCCACTTTGCCTATGGGGGTGTGTCAAACTCATATTATATAGCTTTTGTAGGTTATAGTCGGGTAGACACTATGGGGTACAGATTCCTAGGGTTTCCTACTTGTACCCAACCTTGTGCTAGTTCATTCATTCCTCATTCTTCACACCACCATCCCAACCGCATCATTCAACCTCATCGGCTATGTGGACGCTGCTCATGCCGCCGGCTTGACAATCGACGGTCCAGGACAGGATTCCTCTTTCGCCTCGAACCTAGTGGCCCCATCTCCTGGAACCCACAGAAACAAGAGCTGGTTGCCCTGTCATCGGCAGAAGCGGAGTTCATCGCAACAACAGCAGCTGTTCGCCAAGGTCTCTATCTTCAGGAACTGCTGCAACAGGCGAAAATCCCGGCCTCGGCGAACTTCCGCCTGCATTGCGATAACCAGAGCGCGATCAGAATCACGAACAATCATATTTCCGTCAACCGCACCAAACACATTGCGCTGTGGTACTTCGTCGTCAAGGACGAAGTTGACAAGGGCGAGGTCGACCTAACCTACTGCTCGACGGGTGACATGGCAGCAGATTTGCTCACGAAGAAACTGGTGCGTCAGCAGTACCAACACTGCTCCGAACTCAGCGGAGTAGTTATGCGGGTCAAGACCTGCTACGGCCAGGAGTGAAGGGGGATGTTACGAATAGTAATTATTGAAACATCACTGTGCACTCCTCACCGCAGCAAGCGAAGCACGCACTACCGAAGTTGAAGTCGAAAGGTCAGAAGCAATACAAAAGGTTGCACGGTTACGAAATGGACCGTCGGGCAGACGGCATCAGGCAGCAGCAGTGGCGAGGATTTTGCCCGGACAATTTCGTAACCACATGGAGTCGCACGGTTGAATTTCGTTGTAATAAGGGAATGTACCCCTTAGAGTACATGGCTAGTTAGGTCGCTTCGTATTCCCCTGTAGTCTTATTTATATTCCTGTACTTGCATGTTTTTTATTATCTCAAGCGTTTACATTCACTCTGATATTGGGGTCAAGGGCCCACCACCACTAAATCAGCAGTGTGCGAACCTTCCTGAGGCGATCCTGGGTACGATCAACTTCTGATCACAGCAGTTGTTGCATGCGATATAATTCTTACTTGTTTTCACCAATATCAACCAATTCTAATTCAACAATTGCCTAGCAATGTCTTCGCCTATTTTGCCAACACTTCTTTCGCCAAAGTCTTCCGCTGCGTTTCATCCTCGACTTAGTCGACCCCGCTATTCGTTAGCGGATTTGGGCCAAGGGGCCTAACAGTCAGGGTATTTTACCATGGTGTTGAATATGCTGAGCCAAATATAATATGCAGGTTATTTTCCTTGTAACTCGATATGGCATAGTTCCGATAAGAACCACCAGCGGAAAACGTACACTGCACTGTAGCTTCATGACGGGTTTGTCCACCAAGACCACGTAGTCCACACCAGACCACGTCCATCGCTAGAGTTTGTGGTGAGGGGAGGTTTTGCCGTCATAACTTCAAAGCTCCCTGCAATACAGCGTCTCCTCCATCCACAATGACGTGGCACTAGATATATGCTGATTGCTCATTCGTCAGTGGCATTTCACACTTTGCTGAACAGGCGAATATCGTATCCAATCAAATGGCAAGGACAGCTCGTTCGCACATTGGACAGTATCACCCCAACGACCTTCCATCCAATCAATCACCGCCTTCCCTGTTTAGTTTGATCCACTCTCTGAAGAGTTGGATGTTGATGTCATGACATCGGTTCCATCTTCGTAGAGAGTGGTTGAAACTGTCTTGAGTGCGGTGGAAGTGGTTGTAAGTTAGAACGGGTCATAATCCAGCACGGTGTTCTTCTACTCAGGGCGCGGTACACAGTTGTTCAAGGGCTGTTCAAGATGGAAATGACGAACACTGCGTTCAACCTAGCTTGAACGGGGTTCAAACGAGGTTGGTGAGAATTTCTGGTCAGAAGAAACATTTTGGAACATGTTACAAAAGCGGATGGACAAGACTCGTCGTCCAAGAACCAATTTTCGTCGAGATGACGAAACCGCCTACAACACTGCGAAAGCAACGGAAGTTGTGACTCCCGTAACAGTTTCGCTACATTCTTCAATCACGGGCGACAGCTAATAGGTGCGCGAAAATTCGTTTCGTCAATTATGTTGACCAGCGATGGTTCAGAATATTTTTGCTGACGAACGAGTTGTTCAAAACAGCAGTCGTGTGTTCGTCAGCTGGCTGGTCAAGACCCGCAACCTTCTTGACCAGCCTAGGTACAACTTATCGTAGTAAACAGAGTAACCCTAAATTTGTGTTGTATGAACAAGTCTTGAACAGCTTTGAACAACTATGTACCGCGCCCTCACCGTTGCAGCTTGCTTTCCATTCCTATTCATGTCATACGGGAGAAGTGGAAAACATCACTAATTCCCTCACTCTCGCCAACGTACCAATTCCCTACCTTCTCTAAGTTTAGATCCACACAAAGCTCAAATTCGCACTTCATCCCGAACCTTGACGTAGTAGTGCGCAGTACAGACGGAAATTGGTCCTAAAG